TTGTTCTTCCTCAGGGGGAGGATCCAATGTCTCCACATTCTTTACAGCCTCTATTTTAACCCTCTCAGCCCCTTTAAGGTATATAATGCCATTTATACAGTATGTTCTAACAGTAATAACATTTAAAACTAATAACATTAAAATAACATAAAAACTAATTCATGTGGAAATTTATACCTGAAAAAATGTGTAAAAAGAGTAGAACATAATGGTAGCAGTTGCAATTTTTTATGTCATATAATTTTAGCACAATAGTTTAGCAAACCCAAATTTTACCATCAAATTAATTTTAGCACACACAAACACATTATAATACCTAGTTTTTGGTAAACTATAAAATATGAGGTTGTGTTGAGTATACAGATACCAAACATGTCAAGCCTCAAAATAGTGTGCAACTGTGAAACAGCAAAAAAACCTTGGTACCCAAATGTATTCACAGGCGTTGCTTTAAAAGCCTTTACAGTGCATCAGTTTAGAGCTAGACATAAATAATGTCCCTAGAATTATTGCTCTCATTGCAAAGTGTGCAGTGATGCCTAACATGTGTGGCGCAATCGTTGATTTCATATGGCGGTGCACTCGACGCATGCGTTTACATTGGTATGTGCCTGTGCGGGGGGTGGGGTCTTTAAAGAAATTATGGGGTAAATAATTTTATTTAACTTAACTTTTTTTTTTTCTTCTTAATGTCACTGCTATCACATAGGGGGCTGACAAGTTCTCTATATGAGAGCACAATAGCTGTGACAGGTTCTGTTTAATGAGACATGTCTCTTCTGCACTTCATTGATTCACAGATTGTGCTTGATTAGCTTCATCCCCGATTCATCACTTCTGGGTTCATTCACTAGAGTGGAGATCAGCAAAAAAAAGAAATAAAAAGTTATCATGTTGGCATGGTTGGCATTGCGGTGAATAAATGGGCATGATTTAATAATAACGCCCAGCATTGCTACAAATGGCCGCAGTAATGACCCCAGCAATGGTGTAACTGACCGCAATAACAACCCCCAGCATTGGTATCAGTGATTGCAGTTAAACCCTCCAACATTGGTGTCAGTAACCGTAATAATAACCCACAGTATTGGTGTCAGTGAGTGTAGTAAAAAACTCTCAGCATTGGTGTCAGTGATCACAGCAAAAAAAAAAACACCATTTAAATCTCTCTCATCTTCCCATGTTTAACACTTTTTGGTACGCCTCCTTCATAGTTCCCTGCTTATCTTGTCTGCCTTAAAATTCCTTAGAGTCTCAGCTTATCTCTTATGTGTTTCAGTGTCAGTATTGTTTTGTCTGTAGCACATACATTGGCTCTTGGGTATTTTTTTAAAATCCAGGACCAATATTGACAGCTATTTGCTAAATATGATACAATCTGTTAATTTATGTTATGGTATCATTTTAATTTCTTTCTATCATTTCCGAATCAAACACATTCTCCTTACTTTAACTTACTTAAAATTAACTCTTGCTCAATTTTATTAAGGGATGATTTACACTTCTGTATTGCCGTAACCTGTGCATTGCTGCAAAGTGTGGTAACACATATAATATTGCGTTGCTGTGCATTTGAAAAAAAATGTCATGTGCAATATTAAGCTCGTTAGGGTGCCTTGTTCACACCAAGCGCGTTCCAGGAGCAGAGCAGATCAGTTACAGACCAGAGCAAAACTGCGTCCAATGTATTCCAATGGTATTTTTAGCTCCAGTTCACATTGCAGCGTTCCGTCATAGAGCAGGTAAAAAAACTGCAGCAGGCCCTATTTTTCCTGCTCTGTAAACGCTCTGAAATGCATGCAAACGCATCAAAAACGCATGCAAATGCCCTGGAACGCACTGAAAGCCCATTTGAAACGAAACAATGTATTTATTTATTTATTTTTACCAAAAACGGCCCGAAACGCATCAAAAACGCGGCAAAAAATGCGGCAAAAACGCGGCACAACCCACTGCACTGCGTGTGCACAAACTCATGCAGATCTGCTCTGCATTTGGTGTGAACAAGGCCTAACACAACGCACATTAATGTGCGACATAATTTAATGTGCGACATAATTTGCAACACATTGCAAAGATGTAATTGGGCACAGTATATATGGCTCAAGATCATTTGATCTTCCCTTACTTTAGTCCAAATGCAAATCTATTTGCATTTCTGAGCCACATTTTTGTCACATGACACCTTTCTTCAGCAGAGAAATAGCCGCAATAAAAACTTGTCAGAAAAAAAATATTTTTTTATTCTGCAAGGTAAATATACAATAAGTGAAGTCTTAAGAGGTGTATGTCACTTTAAGTATGTTTGCCTTTTCTATAATAATGACGTTCGATCAGGCCAGATAGTATACTTCTCACAGGATAGCTGTGGGTCACATACATTGAAGCAGCACTGTTGTTTGTCTGCCCCTTCTCTTCCCTTCTCCATTTACAGAACGCTATGTATCCTGTAAACCCACTGATGGAATACAATGAGGGGAATTGATCAAAACAGGCAGAATCTTGAGCAGTTGGTCATGGCAACCAATCAACTTCTATCTTTAATTTTCAAAGCTTAAAGAAGGTGAGTGATTTCCACTCATCATCATAGTTAGAGCCGACCTGTGACAAAGAAGCTGTCACAGGTTGGCTCTATTGATCGGGAAGTGAGCAAACACATACCGTCGCTCACTCACTTTCCGATCATCTCCCTGCAGAGAGCAGTGACTGTCAGTCACTTTTCACTCACCTCATAGTTCTAGCCCACCTGTGACAATGAGACTGTCACAGGTCGGCTCAGTAGATCGAGAAGTGAGCGAACAGATACCGGCGTTCGCTCACCTCTCGATCCTGTTACAGCTCTCTGCCGTGACAGGGGAGGGGCTGGATTCCCCCCTCCAATCCGCCAGCGCTGACTGGCGGATCGGACAGGGAGGGGGCGGGTACAGCTGGCTCTGCCTCTAGATAGGCAGAGCCAGCTGTCACTCACGCAGTTGGGCGGATCCAGACATAATTGTCGGGATCCGCTTTAGCTGCGGCGTCTTAGTATACCGCGAGCAGTAGCTTACGGTGTACTGTGGCGTCTCAGTATACACTAGTTTGTGTCCTCCCGTTACCCTAAGGAGAACTATGGGGAAAAGCCTTAACCCCATAGTTCTCCTTTAACTTAAAGTGACATTAAACCCTCAGATTTTTTAACATAAACCAATACTGTAATGTGTGCCTTACTGTAATCCATGGTAGTTTCCCTTCTCTTTGCTGCTCTTCCTTTTAAATCCTCATGTCTTCTCATGCTTGGGGAGAACTTCCCTTTTCAGCTCAGGGCCTCTTCCTGTAGTGCTGGCTCAGGTTACAAGCCTATACAAATCTATACACAGACACCGTGTATCCATTCCTAGGACAAGGCAGTCTGCTGCAAAACAGACGTTTTGCAGAGCATGAGAACAGATACAGATTTAAAAGGAAGAGCAGCAAAGAGAAGGGAAACTACCATGGATTACAGTAAGGCACACATTACAGTATTGGTTTATGTTAAAAAATCTGAGGGTTTAATGTCACTTTAACAAACTGAAAAAAGAAACTGATTGTTTACTGTGTGCAACAGCTCCATATTCTGTCTGCTCCCATTTTGATAAATACCCCCCAATGCATTCTGCAAATGTGCAAGGAGAGAGAGGGGTCGGACAAACAACACTCTTGTTTCTGTGTATGAGAGCAGCAGCTCTCTTTGCTGCTGTCATGTACTTCTGACCTTAATGAATATGTAAATATTAGAATATGTAATATTATTTTTTGTACTTCTTTTTAGGCGTTTTCAGCCTTGAGCGTTGTTGTTGTTGTAGCCAAAGGCAAGCTATTTACTAGGAGGAGGAGACTGTTGCTAGGCACAAAATTGTGTGGAGAAACACACGTTTTTCAGGCGCTCCTGTTGAACTCTATGGGGCCAAAAACCTATGATTCTGCCCACAAAGAAGTTCATGTGCTTTTTAGAGCTTCAAGTGACAGATGACACAACACTCAGGAGTGTCACGGGCACTATTAAAAATAATGTGATTCTTCATGCTAAGCATTGTCGCACTTTGGGAAACACAGAAGAAAACGTTCAGGTGTGAATTAATTTTATTTTTACACTGCAGATAGCCTGCATCTACACTAATGTAGTGCATGAATGTGTGCAAATTTGTGGGATTTTTTGTGTGCGTTCAAGAATTTTGTGGTGCCATCATTGCTAATAGCAATCCAAGCGCAACAAGCAAGATGTGCAACAAACGTGCAAAAAATGTGTGGTTAAAAATTGCACAAAGTTCAAAAAGGTGCATTCTCTTTGCCCTACGCTGCGTTTGTCCTGCGTAGGGCAGCCTATTAAAATAAATAAATAAAAACCTATGCATAACAAATACGCAAAAACTCACATAAACGTGATATGCAATGTCATGTGTCGCAAGGGTGAATGGGGGCTACAAATTTGTGTTTTTTTTAACCTGGACTTCTGTACTATTTAAAAACAAAACAACAAAAAAATACACTTTTCAATAACCTAATTTCTCTCTACACAGTTGTATTTTTCTCAAATAAGTAGCAGTAAAGCTGTAACAGCAACAGGCTGAAAACAATTGCAGACAGACTTTCTTGACTTGAGCTCGCAAAGCTGAGTGTGTTGTTTATTCATGTGTGCACTCTGACCAGGATGGTAAAGAAGGAGTTAAGCTCTGAGCTGGCTACACATTATTAAGCAACCCATAACAGACGAGTTAGTCTCACAGAGTGCAGGAAGTGACAATGTAGAACTGAACAGCAGTCTGATATTATAAGAAGTTAACCATCTTGTCCTGGAGCCAGCCAAGTTGTCAGCAGTGTATACAGCGTGCTATTGCCAGGAAGTCCATGGGGATACCTAACAGCTCTGCCACTGCCCTGGCTAGCCCCTTTGGTACAGCACACTGGCATTTCCTCTGAGCTCACAGAAAATATGACGCAGCCTCTGATTATTCCCTCCTCGGAAGAGGAAGTTTCTTTCTGAATAACGGTCAGAGCAGCACAAGCCGGGAAAAAGGCAGAAGAATTCCCAAAGATCCAGACTTTGTAAGTGCTGCCAGGCTTTTGGACGTAGGGCAGCAGCAGCACCCACCCTGCCCAGTATGGGATGAGTGAGTTTCCTTTGGAACAGGATGCCAGTGTATTCCGTCAATTTGAAAGTTTTCTGGCTGCTGGTGATCGTCATATTTACAGGCATCTGGTGCATGTTTCTGACTCTGAGGAGGAGCAGCAATGAGGGAAAGGATGGGGGCTGCCAGGAGGAATCATTCAGCAGCTCGCAACTTCTCTTCAAGTTAGGATTGTTACTCTTGGTCTGTTCCATTGTCTTCAGATGCTGTAGCTCCTCCCCGAAGTGCCAACGTGGGGACATAACTTTCCAGCAACAGCATCAGCAGCAAGTCAGGAAAAATCTGCTTGAATCGTTTTACGAACAACACATCAAGCTCTCGCCACATGTTCTTGGTCACAGTAAGGCACATGTGAGCCAGATAGTGGGCGAACTCATCAGGGTGGGCAAAGCAAAGCAACATGACACAGGAGTCATCTTTAGGGGGGACTTTGTTCAGATTGGCAGTGCTTATGAGCAACATAAAATCAACAGTCCAGACTATTTTGACATCCTGGTGCCACTTAAGATGCCGCAAAGTCTCAAACTGGAACCTTTTTTTTCAGATTTGTGTAAAGAGCTGGTGCCCAGTCTTCATGGCTCCATGATATGCGGGGTGGCAGCGGCCAGAAAGTCAGAGTGGGCCAAAACATACAAGCAGTTCAGTGATTGTTTCTGTACAGAAGTAGGGCCTCGCCATGCGCTGTCTTCTACATCTGTCCAAAAATGGTTCCACTGGAAGATACAGAGATGCCTCAACGTGATCAGATACCAATTTGAAGAGCGGAGTTACATTACTCTCTCTGTATGTGATGATAAACTCATCCTCAAAATTCTCCCAAGGTCAGATTATGTCTGTTGCCATATCTCCATGTCTGTGAGACTTATACCTGCTTTTCACTTGGGAGATTTAGTGTTCCTAACAGCGCAGCCTTGGGGCAGTAATTCCTGTTTGGACAGCGTAAATCTAAACTCTTACTGGGGCATTAACTTTTCCAAATTCGAGCAAAAGTTATTGAACTGGTTTAAAGATCAGGCCCCTTCTAACTCATGCCACCTGAAGTGCCTGCAGATCATGAAAAGCTTGAGGGACCTCAATGCCAAGACATTCCAGCCTTCCTTCGCATCTCAGTGGAGATCTATTTTGTCTTCCTATAATTTGAAAACAGCACTCTTTTACCTGTTACTGAAAATTCCATTTGAGAAGTGGGATGATTTGTTACTGATGGAGAGGATGGCAGACTACTTCATGTTTTTGAAAGAATCTTTGCAAAAGGAATCACTGATGCATTTCTTCTTAGGTAACAGGAATCTTCCAAATTGTGTTACCCTGCCAAAAATGTTCAAAGAAGCAATGCCAGTAAACCTGCTGGAGGGATACGGGTTGGATCTGTTGGACCAAGTGTGTTTTCAGCTTCTTAATTTATGGGTCCAAATGCCTCGGATTTTACGGATGAGTTCCTCTCCAAAAACCTTCATAAGAGAGTCTATGAGGTGCAAACATACACACCTTTAGGTGATATTCCAAAACAAAAAAATGGGATGAAATCAGGGTAAATTTTATTTTTGGCATTTAAATGCTGTGCACTGCAGAACAATGTTTGTTACATGTGCTAAATTCCAAAATGCCAGAATCCCAGGGTATGGTGTTTCTACTAAACTGCAGTAAAATATTGTTTATATAAGAGATGCTTTTTGCACATTTTGTAATATTTATTGTATTTGCATCACAGTTTTGCAACATTGATGTGCAGTAAGATAGGACTTGAAAAGTTTTATTTACAGAAGTGGCTTTTTATGGCTGCTTCGTATTCCAAATGTTAAGAAGGCAAAACATTTTTTTAAATGGTCTATTTTTTGTATTAATACTATTTCAGCTTATTTAACAAGTACTGTCCTTTTAGTATAGTTATCGTTTTAGGCCACAACACCATTCCATGCACCCTTTCCAAGTCTGATACCCCAGATCTTCACTGTGTGGCCTGCATGGCCACTTGTCCTTTTCAGCATGTCACATCAGTCAATGGAAGGGGTGTAAACAGATACAGCATGTCTTCCACTGACTCCTGGTGAACAAATTAAAGTATGGTATGGAAGATAGGCTGATTTACATATTACCATATCTTCCAACATCAGAAACTTAAAGGCTAAGTTCATGTTTCTGATCATGTTTCATGTTACACACAATATTTAGGATCTGTAAATGGAGAAACTAGAAGTCACCAGCCACTACAATAGAGTGCATTGTAATTTCAATGGAGTACTATTGCGGTGATGTCACCACACTTGTAGTCCATTGACCCTCTCTCACTGTCTGCAGGGACCAGAACATTTTACTGGCTCCTATGCAAAAATATAATTTTATTATGTGATGTAGAATTGTGCATTTATTATTTTTGTGCAAAAGGTAGAATTATTCTTTAAATATATAATTGGTAACTGGGTATTTATAGAGATGTAAACAGCCCTGCCACTAGAAGCCATATACCTGTTTTGTTTAGACCAGAGTCCTTCCTAAAGCAACAGCAGATTAATGTGTGACATGTCACTGAAGAGCTGTATTGATAAATGAAAGCTGACCATACACTTATTCACTAAAGGGTGAAGCATTTGGAGAGGCAGGAGAAGTGAGCAATCTAGGACAGGGGTAGGCAACCTTGGCTCTCCAGCTGTGCTGAAACTAAAAATTCCATCATGCTTCTGCCTCTGGGAGTCATGCCTGTGGCTTGCAATGCCTTATGGGATTTGTAGTTTCAGCACAGCTGGAAAGCCAAAGTTGACTTCCCCTGATCTAGGACAACATACCTGAACTGGAAAATGAGCTGAATTGGAGATTTTTTTCCAAATCAGCTATGTTGTCCTAGCTTGTCCACTTCTCCTGCCTTCTCCAAACTCTTCACCATTTTGTGAATTACCCCGATGTTTTTCCCTAATTCAGCATACTAAACAACGCGGATGCGGGAATACTCCCTGCTGCTCGAATTTTGGCTGAATCAGCAGGACTCATCTGAAATTCGGGGTGTATATGACCAGCTTTAGTTCTAAGCAGTGATTGCATATCAGTAACCTGTGTGCTCATTAGAAAACACTTAAAGTGTACCTGTCTCCTCTTCACAGTAAAGATAGGCATTATGTGCCTTACAGTCATCCTGAATTACGCCCAAACAGCAACATGTTTACTTTAATATCGGCCCCTGCAGTAGTATATACTCTTCTTTGTTTCGATTGGAGGGAAGTGTAATACCAAGTACTTTGGGGTATGAGGGAGGATGTGATTTGCTCCTGTCTGTCCCCTGTGACAGCTCTGATGCTTGTCCGCTAATGCATCCAGCTATGTCACGTGGGGTGCCTGATTGACTTGTAACTTAGGCCTGATTCACACCTGTGCAGTGCTCTATATAAAGTGCAACCAAGATGCAGCAAGCAGGATTTGTTTTTTATTTTTACCTAGAACTACAAAAAAGAACTACACAGGTGTGAACGGGGCCTAAAGCTGACCATACACCTATAGCTTTTCTGCAGATTTTCTTTGGTCAGATGAAAAAAGTGCAACAGATTCTTCCATCTACACAAAACTGTGTGGATGGAAGAATATCCCACCGGGCCAAGCTTCAGTATCTTGCTAGTCGGCCCTGTTGGCTCTCAAAACACCTGAATAGTGCCTGCATCCAACAGACTGTTCAGGTATTTTGACAGCCAGCGGGGCCGACTAGCAAGATACTGAAGCTTGGCCCAGGGGGAGATTCCTCCATCCACACAGTTTCCTGTAGATGGAGGAATCTGTTGCACTTTTTCCATCTGACCATAGAAAATCTGTAGGTGTATGGCCAGCTTAACACATGGCTTTTCCTTGCTCCCACAGGTGGAAAGAGCAGCAAGGAAAGTATAATCTGCTGTGCAGGCCAACATTACAGAGAACCTGCATGGACAACATTGAACCAACATTCCATATGTCATTCCTTAAATAACTAGCAACATTAGATCTCCATTTGTCTGACTCCTTTATGCATTTGTATATCTAAAAGAGAGCAATAGTAAATAGACAAAATGTTCCACTGTGACTGATACATATTCCATCTGTTGGCTGCTTAGAGCAGACGAGGGGCACACTTAGAGGCATGTTTTTGGTCGCCTCTGCATTAACTTCCCACCCAGCTCTGGCTCCGGCTCTGACCACCATTGCGCCCGGTGATGTCACTAGTTACCAGAACCTGGGCTGGATGCCGGCCAGAGTGTGTCACTCTGCTCCTGGCAACCAGTGACCTCACTGGTTGCCAGGAGCTGGGCGGGACACTGGCCAGAGCATCTCAGGTTGCTTAGAGCAGGGCAGGGAGATGTGTATGTCCGTACGCATGTCCCAATCCAGTTTTTAGCAACCTGGAATGCTCTGTCCAGAAATGGGAAGGCATGAACAGTGGAAACATTGTGCAGCAGATTGGCCATCCCTACAAGATGGCTGCCATCACTGTAGTTAATAGTCCCATGGTTAACATGGTATTCGTACAGCACCATCAGGGATATGCAGCATGTCAATAAGATATAATGAGCGCCTTTTGTCTTGGGGTTGAACTTTGGCAATAGCGAAAAACAATTAAGTGTTATCAAATGTTTTAAAACGACTCCCTTGTAACATGTAGTCAGATTTCAGTTTACAATGAATAAACTAATTTAGTTGGGTTACTAAACAATTGTTTTATTTTACCATTTGATTAGGTGGATTTGACTTGTTGAAAGTTATTCATAGTTATATACAGTAATATGTTAAAGCCGTGAATTGCAAGGAACAAAACATTGATTGCATGGTTTTTCTGCACTATAACTATAAGATAAGGTACAAATATATTTAATTTAAACTGTTATTTAAGAGAATATCATTTATTGTTGAACATTCTGCATACTGTAAACTGTATTTGATGATTGTAATATTGTAGGCTGTTAAAATGGCACTTTAACAACCGGCATTAAAATAGATCCATAGTGTAAATGTATGGCTATCATGTTGTAGCATTGATGCTGCACTATACTCTATACAGTAAACTCTCTGTTATCCGGTATTCAACTAACCAGAACTCTCATCTAACCAGAAAAAAAATGTATGTATCAGTTCTGCGGCATGTATTATCCTGGAAACAATCGTGTGTCTATTTGTCTTAAATTGCTTTTGTTTACTGCATTTCAATATTAATATGAAGTCAAGACAGAGTTTATGTTATGGTATGGTATAGCATGGGGTATGGCATTAGTAAGACCTATTTTTAATAGTACCTTTCAAGCAACCAGAAACTACATTTATCCGGAATCTAGCAATCCCTGTGAATTCCGGATAACGGGGAGTTTACTGTATATAGATAAATAATGCACTTTAATAAAGGGAAAATGTCTAATTTTCATCATTAAGAAAAGGGTAAAAATGATGTTCAAGACTAAAAATTATTTGTTCCTTTATGAGAAAAAAATAGGAGTTGTCCAAACCAATCTCAGAATCATGAGGTGGAAATCCCCTTCTGCAATGGCAGACTCTCACCACCTGTATCTGCACCAATCTGCTATGGACTTACCTGCTATACCAAGTTACTACAGTGCTCAGAGATTTCATCGTTTGCTGCCATGACATAGCCCTGCCCTGTCTATAGGTCATAATAGAACAAAAAGTTGATAATCAAACACAAACTTTTTGTTTTGGATTGCCGTCTTAGGATCTCCTAAATCAATGGTAGCCAAACTGCAGCTCTCCACTTGGGGTAAAACTACAAATTCCATCATACATTTGCCTCTAAAAGTCATGCCTGTGGCTGTTAGAGTCTTGCTATGACTTATGGGACTTGTAGTTTCCTCAACAGCTAGATGGCCAAGGTTTTGCTACCCCTGTCCTAAACCATCCCATTATTGCTGACAATGCTTGAATTGGTTGTATCACTGAAAAGTTCAAGTTGTATATGACTATCCTATTTCAATATGATTGAATGTGTTCTGTCAATCTTGTGCCATTTGCAGTATGTTTTATTCATTTTTTTGGGTCTAGTTAATATAAACATTATACAATCTGCACAACTAAACTTTTAAAATGTAAAATACATTTAACCAAATCCACAAAGCATTAAACAAAGAGCTTTAACAAATGTCTGACCATAGAAATAAAAGGCATATACCACCCCACTGAAAACATAGAACAATAAACTTCAGACAAGTTCTACCTTGACCAGCCCTCTGCTATTATGATGACTGAGACCTTCACCCCCTAGTGCTTCCACTTGTCAGCTTACTTCAGTCTCAATAAAAAAGAATAGGAGAGAAATGGTAGTCAATCATAAGTTGTCTGAAAAAGTACCAAACATGTTTGTATTCATATATCCTGCCAATTTATAGGGCAACTACATGCAAATCTAGCAAGTGGGAATTGGTATAATGAAAAATAGGTAAGAGTAGTGTGTTTGTTACAGTTGCAAAGGTGTCCATGATCCACTTATTCAAAGTCCTGATTTTAAGGGCTCCCAGTATTATGTTGCATGATGTTCT